CGATCCAACTTCGTCCCGGACGAACCTGGAGCAAAAACTGATATTACAGAAAATGAATAAAAAAATTAACTCATTAATAAACTATCAAGAGTTAAATTTGATAAATAAATAAATTAATTTTGTCACTTAAGTCACATTATTTTATAAAATAATCAAAATATACTAAAATCATTACAATTCAACAGTCTAACCACAATTAAAAATCTTTTTTTTTTTATAAAATTGGGGCAGAAGCCCATATCATTGATCTAAAGAGAAATTTACAGTAAGTAAAAAAATCAAAACAAAAGCAGGCACCAAATTGTAGCAAGAACCAAACAGCCAAGGTTGGAGAACAACCAAAACAAGATAACAATAAAAGAAAGGGGGAGATAAAGAGAAACCAAGGACTCGGGATGCATAGCAGCAATAAAGCCCAAGCAGCAAAATCATCTAAAAAGATGCAAGGGATCCCCTGGTTGCCAAATCTGACCGTCCGAGGGGAAGTATAGATAAACTAGCATTCATTATCATCCTTCAAAAAGATCTCTGGCTGCCAAAAAGACCCTCCAGAGACCCAAAAACACCATCCATTATTCCATATTTTGAAAGATGACAAAGTAATCGTAGGAAACCCCACACTGTCCCATAGGAATTAAATAACCAGTTGCTGAAAAACATGGGAATTTTTCCATTTTGAGATTTTGTAAAAAACAACCTTCTTGATTTTGGCAATAATGGTAGCATGGCAGTTAATTTGATAGCTAAACAATCTATCATTTCTGGCTCTCCAAATGTAATAAGTGATCGCACACATCATCAAGTACTATAAATTTTTCTAGCTCTTATCCGTAACCCATTCATCAATACAGCTAAAATCTTCCAGGAGTGTAGGGCGGAGCAGCATATAGCCAATACGAGTGATCAAGTTCTTAAGAATAACATATGTATAATCACATTCAAATAAAAAGTGATTTTGGTTTTCCAAGTCATGGTAACAAAATACACATTTGGTAGCATCACCCTAAAAATCAATGCATCAGCTATTTTCAAACCATTTTTGAATGCTAACCAGGTAAAGCCCGAGAAATGTAAAGCATGCCTCTTGTGCAAAACAAATTTGTGACAACTCACAGTGGAGTGATCTCTATAGTATTATATTTTGAAATTATTAAAACTAGGCTTTTCAGAATCAAACCAAAGGTAGGTCACACCAGAGTTTACCATAGGCATAGTAGTTATGATGGGAATGATTGGCCCACACAGAATAAAAGGAAGGCATCAATTTCCATTACTGATCAGGCAGCTAATAGGAAACTTAAAGTAAGTTAAAAGAGAGCTCTCCCTATGAACATTCCCAAGTTTATTAGCAATAGAAGAACCGGAGCACGAGGAGTCCCATAGTAAGGAAAGCTTGTTATTGCAAAGACTTTAAAATTTAAATTATATTTTATATTCTCAACCACAACACAAAAATTTCTCCAATAAACAGAACAACGACAGATCATGGGGTTCCAAAAGGAGATATATTTATCCCTCCACCAATGGAAAAAAAGGCTATCAAAGTTATAGAATCTCCAAATAGTGGAGCAGCCAAAAGCATGAGAGAGCAGATGAATGGCCGAAATACCAAGCCCACCAAATTCTTTTGGTTTACAAGTTTCTTTCCAAGATATCATATACAACTTTCTTTTGGAGATGTCACCAAAGTATAAGAATCTGGAGCAAATTCTATTGATGGTTTAGCAGCAAGATTTGGGTATAATAGCCCCTCTAATCCAATAGGCTAAAAAGTTACATATTGTGAATTAGATGAATTGCATCCTTCCAGCAAAAGAGAGGATTTTTGCTTTCCAACCTTCATGGTAACTTTGAATTTTTTGTAGCAAAGACTAGAAGTCATTAAGTTTGAGTCTCCTATGGAAGATAGGAATACCAAGATATTTGATAGGAGAGCTAGAAATAGGAATGTTAAGGATACTGGATATGCAATGATCATTCAAAACATTTCTAGAAAATAGGATAGTGTTTTTTTCACTGTTGTCTTGCAAGCTCTAAATATAAGCAAAATGGCAAAGTAATTCCTTGAGGACCTCAGCATTTTTAATGGAAGCCTTACCAAACACCAGCAAATCATCAGTGTAAAGGAGGTGAGAAATGGAGGTATTACTTACAATGATTCCTTGAAAAGTGTTGGTGGTAGCAACCTCCTCAAAGCAAGAAGAAAGACTATCCATAACAATGATGAAAAGATAAAGAGAAAGAGGGCAACCCCTATCTAAGGCCATAAGTCGATTTGAAGTAACCTTCCAGAGCTCCATTAATGCATATGGAGAAATAGACATTAGTAATACACCCTTTGATCCATGAAATGAATTTTGTAGGAAAGCCTTTGGCAAGAAGGCAGTTAAGTAAGTATTCTTTGGATATAGTATCAAAGGCCATATGTATGTCAAAGTTGGTACAAAAGTACTTATCTCTAGCTTTTAGATTAAAATCTCCAAAAGTTTAGCTGCCAAAAGGATGTTATCAGAGATGACTCTATCTATGATAAAGTTGGATTGGCTAGGATGTATGATGAAAGGCATGACCACTTTCATTCTGTTAGCCAAGATCTTAGCAATAATTTTATAGAACAAGTTACAAAGGGAAACCGACCTATAATTTGATAAATTTGCAGCATGAGAACGTTTAGGGATCAGTGTAATGGTCATAGCTTTCACATCTTTAGCACTACAGCAAAATCACCTATTACCGGCAGCTTTTTTCAGCGGAAAGTGATCATTTTCCAGTGGTTTTAAAATTTACTGGTGATTTTTTTATGGGAAAATTTTTGCTGGTAAAACACAGTAGGAAAAAATTTTCAGCGGCCTTTTCTGGCGGTAAAAAATTATGGAAGCTATCTGGCGCTCTTTGGGCACCGGAACATAAAAAAAATTCAAAAATTATTATGCCTGGCTACCCGACCGCTCAATCTGCCTGCTAACCACTGGCCGGATGCCTTCACGTGGTCAGTTGCTTGGCTACCCAACAACCTTGCCCACCCGCCCGGATGCCTTCCTGCACCGCCCGCTCTCTTCCTGCTGAGATGCCCGACTACCCGCAAATTAATTAAATTAAAGTATTATCATTAAAATTTAATTAAAACAAATTATTAACTTCATAATTTATTAAAATACTATTAAAATTACTAATCAATGAAAATAAAATTTTAAAATAAATTAAAATTTAAATAATAATTTTAAATTTAAATCTTTTTAATTAAGAAAATAGTTAACTTAAATTGGTTAATATAAAATTTATTTTTTTGTTAAATCATTTAAATAGTTAAATTTTTAATCATTTTATTTAAATTATTTAAAAGCTACCAAAAACCTAGAAAAGTCGCCGAAAAATTACGCAGGAAATAAACCGCTGGAAACATCGACTGAAAAAGCTGTCTCATTGTTTTCCATCGGAACACTGCCGGAAAGCAGTCGAAAAATTGACCGTCAGAAAGCCTCCGAAAAATTCCGCCGGTAATGGGTGATTTTCCTGTAGTGTAGGTAAAGAACCAGAATAGAAAAAAGAGGAAACAACTTCACATAGTTTCTTTCCAATAGTGTTCCAAGTGGACTTATAAAATTCAAAAGTGTATCCATCAGGTCCAGAGGCTGAGGAGTTGGGTGAAGAAAAGACCACATCTTTGATTTCTTTCACTGTTGCTTCAGCAGTTAAACTGGATATGAGATGATGAGGGATGGTGTTACCAACAGGAGAATTCTAACTGTTAGAATTTGGCTAATATGGGGTGTTGTAAAGCTTTTGAAAGTGGCTAACAGTAGCATTGTTGATATCATTGGAATTTGTAAGAACTCCCTCAGTCGTGGTAATAGATTTTATAAGACTATGATTATGTCGAACATTGATTCTAGAGTAAAGAAATTTTAAATCATCTTATTCACAAGACAACCATTTAGCTTTAGCTCTTTGTGAAATCCAATCAGTCCAATCAGAGTTTCTTTCTAACAATTTGTGATTATTGATTTTTAAAGCCAAGTTTAGTCCAGGATTCGTGGGGGAAGCCTGAATTTGTTCCAATATGAGATGTTGAGCATTGGAAAGGTCTTCAATTTCTTTCTTGGGAGAGTTAGTGGATGCCCAATATTTGGTTTTAATACTGTTTTTGGGTATCTTGAGTTTCTGGTAGAATGGGCAAATTGGACTTCTAAGTGAGGGTAGAGAGCAATCAGAGATGAGCTAGTCCCAGAAACCAGCTTTGGAAAACCATTAATTCTTATAAAGAAATCTATGTTTTTGCTGGATGTTTGCATCATTTTGCAAAATGATGGGTGAGTGATTAGAGATTTGCGAATATCCAACTCTAGAAAACGAGTTGGGATAAGAATCTAACCAAGCATCATAGTACGGGCGACGATAGATCAAATAGCCGACTAAGGAGAGCGACCATTCAGGAGAACCATCGTCAAATTGAGCTTTTGTAAAGTTAGCAGTGGCATTTTCGGTCGGGAAGTGAGCAAGGGGAGATGTGAGATCGTTGGAAGCTTGGGAAGCGATGAGAATTTTCCAAACGAGGGGGGAACTAGCAGCGGTGAGTGGAGGAACAGAAACAAAAGCTAGAGGGGGAAAGTGTGAGAAAGAGGAGGAGGATAACATCCTGGAGGAGATCCTCCTCGGAGGAGAAGAAGGGGCGGCCAGAAGAGCGCAATTAGAAACCCTATCTCAGGAGCTCGCATGAAGCCCAAATAAAAAAAAAAATCTAAATTAAATTGAATATCCTCATAACCTCCTAAAAATTAATAACTTTTCTCTTTTTTTTTTTTGTTATGTTTTATTTATTTTTATTTATGATTACAATGATGTGACTCAATTTGTACTCGTTTTCTCGTTTTGACGAAAGATTGCTACAGGGACCACACCACCACCGGACTCCATTGGTTTACCGCCGCAGTGGGAGGTGACCATATCGCTACCCTAATTCACTTTACGCAGTTTATCCGGCTTTCCTCGGGTATAAAAAGGCTCCTCCGCATACCCTCGTCGGAGATTTCAGTTCGGCTTCTACTGTCTCTTCTCGCCGGAGATATCTTTCTCTGAGCGCAATCTCTCTCCACGAAATAGATCCTCAACCCTCGATCGTCCGATGGAGAGGGAGAAGGAAACAGCAACGCGGCGATTTCGCAGATTCCGGCATATCGGACGGCTTCTCCGCTTCCTTGAGCTCGCCGGTGCCCTTGTCGTGCTCTCCTACTCCTACAACTACGTTCCGTCAATCGCGAGGAATTCCGGTGTGTTCCTCCGCCGCTCCGCAGTTGTTCTTATTAGCCCTACCTTTGTATTTCTCCTTGGAAACGCCATTGTCGTCGTCCTCTTCGCTAAATCCGGCCAAATCGCCTCATCATCGGAATCCTGCTCCGCTCTCTCCGCCGTGGACGGATCTGATGAAATATCCTCTAATCTATCGTACCCAACGCCGCCGCATTTGGGGGAGGCGGAGGAGGTGGTGTACGAGGACAAGGAGGTATGCGTGGAGATTCGTGCTTCCCCGCGGAGCCGGTCGGAGGAATTGGAGAAGATAAGGGAGGAGCCGAAGATGCTACTCTTGGAAACGGAGGTAAGTAGTGGCGAGGCGAAGTTGTCTTCGTCGCCACTGCTGAAGCTGCCGCAAGTGAAGGCAGTTGCGGCGCAAGATAGAGTGGATGCGGAGGCAGAGGAGGATGCCGAGCAGTTTCGGCGCACGGTGGAGGAGTTCATCGCAAAGCAGCAGCGGTTTCAGAGACAGGAGTCGCTCTCCGTTATCTCGTACTCCGCGGGATTACCAGAACCTGTTGCTGTGTAAATATAAAAGAGAAGAAATAATATGTTTTTTAAAATGAAATTCTTAAGGGTTTTTTTTTTTTTTTTAATTTGTTCTCTATTCTGAAAGAGCTTATTTTCTATGCTTCCGAGCTGAGGTCCTTTTAAATTTATTTAAAACATTATTTGGTATTTATTTTGTAACTTAATTAAAATTAGAATAATATTAGATATTTTATTTAAGTGCAATTTTTCAAAAGATTATTTATATTTTTAAGCGTCAAATAAAGTTAGTTATAATGATAGAAAGAATTGGTCCAATTTTTGAAATTAAATATCCCATGCAAAAAATATATATTTTGATAATTTATTTTTTTAGAAAAAAAATTAATTATTTATTAAATCTACTTCTTTTCTCTCTTTCAGTAAAAAATATTATTATT